GGCCCCGGCGCCAGGCGGCGCGAGGCAGGCGAGCGTGCCATCAGGCGTTGGCGCGGGCAGCCGCGGCCGCTGGGGTCCTGAGACGGGCGCGGAACGGAATCAGGCGCGCAGCCGGGGCCGGGACGAGAGCGGGGCCGGGGCGCGCCACGCGGCCGGGAGGGGGAAGAGCTAGCGGTCAGGGGAGCCAAGCGGGGCGAGGCAAGTGGGCGCGGGTGTGGGGCTGGTGCGCTTCGACGCGCAGCCGAAAAGGGCCGACGCTGCGCTGTTAGGGCGCATTCGCACGGCCGCGTTCAGAAGCCGCGGCGCCGCCCGGTAGGCAGAGCGCCCGCTCTTGAGGGTCAGAGTGGCCCAGACTCTCCAGGCGAGGGCGCACGCTTCGTTCTTGCGGATGTATCTTCAGACGGTAAGGTCTGTGGTAGCGCTCGGCTGCAGAGAACAAAGTTTCTCCGCGAGTGAGAAAGCAAGGGACTATGCACCTGCAGCGTGAGCCAGGAGAAATACTGTTTCCTGTCACCTTGGCAGCTGACTTTATCTGTGTTTACAGAGCATGGAAAAGGAAGCACTCCAGCTGAGAAACACAATGGAGTTGGTCACGCTGAGGAAACCGAAATAGCGAACAGCTTGTTTTGAACAAGCTGATGGGCAAACACTAAGCCGTCAGACGCACGGCATTGATAAACTAGACAGGTGGTATGGATAGGCGGTGTGAACAGGTGTAAGCCCCAAGCCTTTTGCTCACCTGAGTGCGGATCATCTGGCCGACAGCTGCTCTCGCTCTGGACCGTCTCACATTGGCGTCTGCCGCCGCCGAAGGCTCTGCTCGAATGGCTCCCCACCTGCGACTTCGTTGCAAGACGTTGACCTTCCTGGTGAGACTGGAGGGCCGGCCTCTCCGCGCATGGGTTGGTTCCTTAACTCAGACTTTCGCTTTCTATCTTTATCTGTACCTTCACTTAATTATATTGTTACTTGTTTGTTGAGTAGTAAGTGAATGCAGTGGTGTGTAGCTTGAGCCTGCGTGCCTGCGGCTTTGACCGCGAGTGAACCGCCTAGTACCTAGGGAATTGCTCCCTGCCGGAACTCCATAGTAGCTCATGGACGGTATTAATGATGCTCACATTAATAAAAGTTGGACATTGTGTAAAGACACAAACGTATTCGGCCTTGGTTCCTTGCGACCTCCGACCGCTCACGACACTGGCCAGTTGGATGTGTATTTTCTGAGTTATTTTTTACTTTCTCACCACCCTGTCCCTGGGGGCAAGGAGGGCTTCCACAGCAATGGAGGTGCTTGTCACCCTCCATACCGTACTTTCCATTTGTGCAAAGGGACAGAAATCAACAGTGATTGCCTAGGAGAGGGGAAGGAGTTGACTACAATGTGGTGTGGGGAGTTTTAGGGACTGGTGGAAGCATTTGGTGTCTTGATTGCGATGGTTACGCAACTGCATATGCTTTTCAAAACTCATATATGTACAATAAAAAGGGTGAATTTTACTGTATGTAACTTATGTTAATTTTTTAATGAAAAAAGACCTAAAAAATATAATTAATGTCTTTGGTTAAAAATAACATTGGTACACGGTTGATTGGGCACAACAGAAGAATGGGTCAGTAAATTTAAAGATCGGTCAAATGCAAATTAAAATCATAATGAGATACTGCCTTACGCCCACCAGAATGAGTAAAACTAAAAGACTGACAATATCAAGTTTTGGTGAGGATGTGGAGGAACTGTAGAATTCTCATACATTTCTGGTGGGAGTGTAAAATGGGTTAACCACTTTGAAAAATAGTGAGATAGTTTCTTATAAATTTAAATGTATATTCTGCCATGGTCTTGTGGACCTGAGGAAGGAAACATGGGTTAAACGACAGAGTTTATTTGAGCGAGTACAAGTGACTGCACCCCAGGAAAACACCTCCAAGTTACCTTTGAAAATATTCCGAGGTACAAATAGAGCTTCAATATTTTTATAATCACACAAAGAGGAGGAGTAGGGACAACCTCCTCAATCAGGCTTTACCTTGGTTGTCTAGCATGACATGAGTTAATAATTGGTTAATGGTTACATCTTGCTCTTTAAACAATTGCTAAATCCGTAAGAATCACCATGCCCACTTAAACGTTTTTTTAGAGTTATTTAATTTTTTATTGATGGCTGGCCGGTACAGGGATCAAACCCTGCCCCTTGGTGTTATCCTCACCATGCTCTAACCAACCAAGCTAACTGGCCAGCCCCATTTCAACATTCTTTAGGATAATTTATAGCTCTATGAGCTGACACCATGATTGTATTCTAGGCCTAAGGTAATCTGTTTAGCAGTGTTACAGGATGTGGGGGATGTGACTACTGCCACATACCCGTGCCTCCCAGGGCCTTAGGAATTTAGCTGACCTCAATTATTGATGCTAGAGCAGTTTTCAATTTATCACTCTGAATGTTTGTATCCCCTGCTAAAATTCATATGTTGAAATCCTAACACTCAAGGTGATGGTATTAGGATACGGGGCCTATGGGAGTGATTAGGTTATGGGGCAGAACCCTCATGAATGGGATTAGAGCCCTTATAAAAAAGGCCCTGGAGAGCTGCCTTGCCCCTTCCACTATGTGAGGACACAGTGAGAAGATAGTTGTTTATAAACCAGAAAATGGACCTTCACCAGACACTGAATCTGCCGGCACCTTGATCTTAGACTTGCCATCCTCCAGAACTTTGAGAGATTTCTGTTGTTTATAAGTTACCGAGTTTATGGTAACATGGACCAAGACAACCTCCCTATGGCTCAGCAATGCAGCCCCTAGGTATTTGCGCAAAAGGGATGAAAATGGAAGTCCACGGGGATTTGTTCAGGAATGTTCATAGCAGCTTTATTCATAGTAGTCCCAAACTGGAAACCCCCAAAGTGTATGTCAACAGGTAAGTGGAAGAGCAAATTGCTGAACTGCCATATGATGGTATATACTACCACATGATTGTACTGTACATTATTCAGCAACAACGTGGGTGAATCTCAAAAACATACTAAGCAAAAGAAGCCAATCATCAAAGAGTGCATACTATATGATTCCATTTTTATGAGTTTTAAGAACCAGCAAAGCTTACCTTGATAGAAATCAGAATAGCAGTTGCCTCTAACTGGTGGTGACTATCTGGAAAGGGGCATGAGGGAACTATTTTTGTGTGAAGGAAAAGCTCTGTATCTTGTTTGGGTTAATAACAACATGGGCACCCATTTGTCAAAATTCAAACTGTATACTTAAATCTGCACTTTTTAGTGTTAAGTTATTCCTCCATTTACAAAAGGAATTAAGAGTGCCTTGTTGGAATGAAACCTTACCATTTGTTGTTTTTAATTACTAAGTACCATGAGAACAGATCTCTATTCCCAGCTCCTCACCATTTTGATCTTTTTATGAATATGTGCCATTGTGTGGTGATGAAAGCACCAGGCTCTGGGCCAGACCACTTGGGCTGGTATACATTCTGCCCCCTGCCTTCTGGGCAAATTACTTAATTTCCCTGTGCTTCCAGTTTTCTCAGTGGTAAGATTTATATGTCTATGCCTGTGATATATATTTGGTCTTCATCCCTGTGTCCTGGCATACAACTCCTAAAATCCTTGGAATCTCCAAAGTGATGTCTTTCTGTATGCTAATCAATGCCTGGTGGCTGGCAGTCCCCCAGGTAGCTCCAGAATAGGGGCTGGTCACAGGAAAGACCAAGGCAGGATTAGAGGGTTAGGACTTTCAGCCCAATCTCCAGTGAGAAGAGAAGAGCTGAAGGTTAAATTGATCCCTATTGGCCAGTAATTTAGTCAATCATGCCTATGTAATGAAGCCTCCATAAAAACCCAAGAGGCCTGGGTTCAGGGAGCTTCCTGATAGCTGAACACATGGAGGTTCCTGAAGGGTTATCCACCTGGGGAGGGCATGGAAGCTCTGCACCCCTTCCCACATTCCTTGCCCTATGCATCTGTATCATCTGTATCCTTTGTAATACCTTTTATAATAAACCAGTAAGTGTAATAAAAAAAAAAAACCCACAGCTAATGTAAGTGAAGTGTTTTCCTGAGTTCTGTGAGCCACTCTAGTAAATTAATTGGAGGAGGGCATTGTGGAGACCCTGATTTATAGCTGGTCACAAATTCCAGGGGCCTGGGCTTGCAACTCGCATCTCAAGTGGGGGAAGTCGGGGACTGAGCCCTTAACTTGTGGGATCTGACTCTGTCTCTAGGCAGATAATGTAAAAAGATTTGAATTAGAGGACACCCAGGAGGTATCTGCTGCAGAATTGCTTGCTTGCTGGTGGGGAAAAGCCCTCACACATTTGGTCACAGACGTCTTCTGTGTTGATTGTTGCTGAGTAAGAGTATAGGAAAAGCACTTTGGTTTGTTTAATCCTATATACTCAATGTCTTAAAGGGGTGGCAGGGTCCTCCCCCATCATAAGAGATTTTGTCATCTGAATCACAAATCCAAGTAATTCTGATGAGAAAACCTATTTGGAAAATGGTGGACTGTGGTTGAGACTGTTGCCACCCAGTATCCATCCTTCATTCTTTAATAACAGATACTCTTGGCTGTGGCTGCACACACTACTATCTAGCTAAAAACCACATCCAGTGGCCAGTGACTAAGCGAGGGCAATGGAAAACGAACAGATGGTGGTATGTGCAGCTGCTGAGTCGCACCCTTAAATAGGGACCACAGAGTGCTTTCCATGTCTTCCCCTTCCCACTCTGGAAATGCAGATCGGAGGGTAGGACCTGGAGCAGTGTCCCAGGCCAGAGATGGGAGCTGTGGTTTATGCAAAAGATAGAAGGCATTTTTGTCCTCAGCACTGTGAAACTGCCCTGATCAGGCTGTTCCATGAAACAAAAACTTCTCATTTAAGCCACTGGGTTTGGGGGGTCTCTCTGGTACAGCGCTTCACCAGCCTGACTGATCCTCATCTCAGATTTCCTGTGGAATGCAGCCAAGAAAGTGTCCTGGTAGGTCTGTATCCTCACCCCCACCTTGCAGTCTACACCTGATTAAATAAGAATGGAATAATCAAGGGGGAAAAGTAGGAAACAGAACTCTAATGTTAAGAAGCCAACCCTTTTATTGACCACTATTTAATGTAGGTAAAAATGAAAGAATATTGAGATGTAAAACCCTGCAGGCAGAAGTGGACTTCCAACGGACGAACAGAAATTGGGCTTACAAGAACTGACAAAACATCTACTCCAGATTCCAGACCAGGTGAAGGAGGCATCCCTGGAGGTGCTTCCACGCTGCCACCACCACCCCCAAGCTGGAGGTTTTCTACTTCCTTCAGCAGACATATGCACGCATGCACGCACGCTCAGTCCTCACACCTGGAGGCGCCATCTTCAGCCCTAACTTCAGCTGGCGACTGAGCTAAGAAATGTGGATGACCTGCCAAGGTCACTGATGGGGCCATCCTGAGAGCTGAGGGGACAGAGATGGAGTTTACTTGTGCCCCCCACACAAAGAGGTGAACAAAGGGCATGGCAAAGAACCCAGAGACAGCTTGGCAACACAGTTTAATATCGCCCATTGTTTCCAGGGAAAAGGCCTTTATCAAAGTACACTTTTCATCAGAATCTGCAACATTCATTGTCAAATGGAAACATGCATAAAGGCAAGCAGAATTCCAATGCTTCTGATTTTAGAAGTTACTGATTGCTGAGAATTTTTTCTCATCTAGGACAGACCTGGACACTCCTTTAACAAATATGTTTATCCATCGAACTGGATGGCAGGGGTGTAAATAATCCTATTTGATATTTCCCCCACATCTTCTTAGTACTGCACAAGATACCAGATTTCTGAGCGACCTGGTGATTTTTAAATACTAAGCCTCCCATCAGCCTTGGTCACACTCACCCCAAATTCCTGACAGTACCTGCCACCACTCTAAGCCAGGAAGTAGCTACCCATACAAGCGTACTTCAAAAAGTCCATGGAAATATAGAATTAAAAGATAATACAAATTTTCCTGCAAACTTTTTGAAGTGCTCTCATACATCCATGCTAAAACCCCTCTGTAGCACCCTGTACAACTCTGTAAGAGGACATAACACAGAGCATCTATGTGAAGTAGATACAGCTTTAAAATAAACCCATTTTATTCAGTGCCTGCAACTTTATATACAAAAGGAAAAAGTTTAGATACAGATAAGCCCGTTTAGTGGTTACTGTAAGCAAAAAATATTGTATCCTAAATAGTCCAGGAAGTTAAGGCCACAAAAGAAGGATCAGGGAATTTCCCCTTAGATCCGTATAGTATAGTAACTACCTGGCCCTTGGTTGTAGAAGCAAAGTGGAGTAACAGGAAAAAATGTAAATCCTGCCACAAAGTCAAATCCTATGACCAGTTTCCTTCTCCTTTTCTCTACTTTTTTTTTAACCATGCTGGTTATTAATAATAATGTTTAACCCAAAACTCTCTATACCTGGCTAACTCATATTGACCAAAAATAAAATATGGATGAAAAAGATGAGCCTGGGGAGTCGCAACGTTGAGATTTGAGAGTCATGACCCACTTGTTAGCAGTGACAGCCCAGCAGAGGCCGGGGACTCTACAGGAAGCATCAGCCTGAAGACCAGCCACCACCCTTTTCTTTCAGTTGACTCAGAGCACATTCTCTGCTGTCCTATAAATGCTCCCCATTTTTGTATTCCTTGTAGATGGTGACATATAAAGTATGGGCTGAAGATGGAAGAAATGTGGGTAAATTGCGGTCAAAAGCAACAACCAGAAGCTAGGTTTCACATCCAGTCTGAAACTTTGGCAGAAGAGTAAAGTTCTCTTTTAAAACAAATACTTGAACAGAGTGTGTAACAACATGAGATAAAAAGTTACTCCTGAATGTGACAAAATATAAATATTAAAATGAAGCCCCCCAAATGAAATATGAAAATCTTTACCAAAAAATAGTTTATTGCACAAAATTTAAGGAACTCCCAAGCACACTTAAATTTATAAAAAATCAACATGCTTTTTAAAGATACAATTTGCTGTACATGGTGACACCTTTCCCCTGAACAGCCCCAACCTGAGGACTCTCCTTTGTGAGGAAGTTTTTAATAGAAACAAACAACTCAAAACCACTGAATTTTCTAGACCCTCTAAAACATTACTCTCCAGGATCCTATTATAACCTGAGACTACAAAATCATTAGATTTGCCTGGAGCTTGGAAGAATAAGCTTGTTAGAATAAGGCTCAGGACGTCTCACATCACAGCGTTATTCACGTCATGAGGGGTCCTTGAAAGGAAGACTCCAGGACATTTCTCTTTCACCCCTAGAACCTTTACACATAACATTTAATTTTTGTTGAAAACATTCATAGAAGTAGGACTATATGTCATGGTGACTTTTCAGACCCATGGCTTTTGTAGGATCCCTATACCAAGAAAAGTACGTTTTCAAACAGAGAGTTTAACACAACCTTCCTACTGCTGCACACCATGGGCTATCTTCTTAGAGGGCCAGTCCCATTCCCTGGATCCAGGCCTGAGTAGAGGCAGTTTCGTATACTGTCAAGAACATTGCCTGATACATCTTCCAAAGAATAGAAGAAAGGTATGTAAATTTATAAGATCCGTGGCATCTATCTGACATGTACCATGGAAAAGTCAATGAAATCCACATGGCAATAAATTTTTTTGGAACACAGGTAATGATATCATGAAGTGCCCAAGCCAACATTCCCTGCAATAGGACGTGACATACAGTGTGTGGATAAATAATATGCACAAATACAATGCAGTGCCCCCACTATTTTATAAAAATAACACTCCAGATTTGACTGTTGTTTTCCATGAGTAAATTCCATAATTCCTACTTCTGCCCACAAGAACAATTCGAACTTTATTCACTGGAGGTAGAAGTGCCAGTAGAGTCCCTTGGAAATAGGGAAAAAAAACACACCAAAGCCACAACAATCAAAAACAGGCAATTAAAAAATGCAACATCCTCTTTCAGGGGACTTATGGAAGCCTAAAGGCAGTGTCAACTGGACACAAGAGGCCCCAGATTCCGAAATGCAGGTCATATGTGAAAACAGGAGTAGACACGAAACACGCAATGGGCAGGAACAAAGACAGGCCAGGGCCTGTGCTGCACCAAAAGAGGGCACGGGTGATGGAACTGGCACAGGACGATGACAGAAAACCAAGAGAAGAAAACGCATGCACATGTGCATGCACACACAAGCAGGACAACTAAACAAGGGGAACAGATCTGCTTTCACTTGACAAACATATTCAGAATGAGTTTATCCTTACCTAAGAGAAAACAAGACACTGTGAACATCAATTGCTTGAGGACCTTCCATAACAAGGAGGAAGAAGCTCCACCACAGAATGAGCCCATGTGTTGTTTCATGGTTTAAAAACATCAAACGACATGTTTAAAAATTAAAACAAGTGATAATACAGCCAAAATAAATAAGAATGTAAATTACCATTTTTCTTTTCTAATGGTACAAGAACAATTTAGACAAAAATGATTTCCAACTTAAGATAAAAAGTAGGATATATTTATAATGATGTTTTCAAGTATTATTTCAAGATTAACCCTGTACAAAAGATATACGTATTTTAGAAGTTCTGATACTTGCTAGGGAATATTTTTTAAACACCAAACATCTTTGCAGTTAATGCTACCTTAACGCTATCAATTAACCTTTTAACAGTATATTACAAGAGAACACAGCTTAAAAATACCATACTGTTTTCTCTACAAAATAGACACAATAATACATCAACAGGAGTTTCTGGACTGACCATAACACTCAGAACTTCATCTTCAAACTAGCTGATCTGCACAGGAGACCATGTGGATCTATTCTCTCTCTCTCTTCTAGCTCGTAACAATAAATATTTTAGATTTTCTTATCAAACTAGGAAGGAAGTTTACAGACCTCAACTCACCCAGTCAGTGTCTGCAGTGTTTCAGTTTCTCAGGTGGGAAATGTAAAATCTCAAATACTTAGTGCCAATTTCAAATAAGGAATCTCTTCCTGAAACACCCCAGGAGACCACAGCCACCTTCCTCATGGCACTAGCCTGTCTTTTCAGGAAATCACCTCTGCTTTCCAGATGACACCAGTGCAACCACCAAGGACCCAGGACTTCTCTTGATGACTACACTAACAGAGGCGTTCCTACGGGCCACAGTGAACATTTTCACTTGGGGCACAGAAGTGTGGGTCCTGGAGAAAGGATTGTTACCCACCCTGCAATCTATAAATGGGTTGGGCTCAAGTGGAAAATGCAGGAGGCTCTGCAGGAAGCCCCAGCCCACTCTCCTCCTCCTCCACTTTCCTCTCTCCTACTTTGGCCTCTCTCTGGGCTCTCCAAATGTCAGGTCAGTAAGTGGGGACCTCACCATCTTTGTAGTTCCTGCTCGCTGCCAGACCTCACCAAGGTTCTGACCTGCTCCTGCCCAGTGGGACCACACAGGGCCAGTGGTGTGACAAGTCAGCATCATGAACTTATGGAGAAACTGTGCAGGAAAGAAAGAACCTCAGAAATAAAGTAAAACTAAAACAATAAAGAACCCTTTCTGTGTAAGAATATTTGGTTTTAGAAGGTAGAGAAAATAAAATATTTCTTAAAATATAATTTTCTGACTGACATCCCCTAAAACCTACATGTGCATTATTTCCCAACAGCAAATTTTCAAAAGGCAATCAATAAAAAGACAAGTCATTTTTAAATAAGCATATACTTTTTAAAGATTAGATTATGAATTTCAGTATTTTTATATATATTCTATGGTAGGATGGTCATGGGAAAGAATAAAAACAAAAAACCAAAGGTGCAGATAAAATTTCGTTTCCGCAGGAAAGTAAAGCTCTTACTGAACAGAACAGGAAAGTAAGGGGCTGGGCCCCAGCCCGTCCTGTTGCTGTGTGGAGCTCACGAGCCTCGTCGGACAAATTTCTGTCAGTAACCAGCAGCTGGCATCACCCTCAGACAGCAGCATTTACCCCTGATACCTCCTTCTGCATGTAACCCTCAGATACACTGAAAGTTCCTCACAGACACCTAAATTAGGTTTTCAAGATTTGGTCATTTCGTGGGAAAAGCTAACTGTGATCTTCAAGTGACTCTCTAATCCTTGGCTCTCATTTCGTTATTTTACTCCTTGTTAAAGGCAAAAGCAAAACTTAAATTTCATCTCTTAGAAAAACATAGAGCACACAATCAAATAAATAACATTGATAAAGAATATTCCTTTACACAGCTACACCCTCAGGGGAGGCCTGTGATGGTCACTATTCCAGTCCTTCTCTGGAGGCCCTGCTTTGACTGTGGTTCTTCATGTCACCCCTGGGGTTGGAGTGGTCTCCCAAGGGGGCAGGACTGGCAGTGGCCGGCTCTGTGAAATGGCCTTCCACCTGGGTCCACGAGGACAGGGACTCGTGCACAGTGATGGTGTGCTCCTCCATCTGGCGCTGCAGGCTGTCCATCTCCTGCCTGTGGAGACAGGAGAAGCAAAGGAAGAAAGCCCCGGTCACAGGAGCACGGGCTCATCTGTGACAAGCTTCAGCTGCACAGCTGCTCACTCACGAGGGTCTATGGCACCTTCAGGGGCAGCAAAGCCCATCAAGGGCACAGAACTTCAGTGCTTGTGGCATTTTTCTCTATACTGCACAGAAACCAACAGACTGTGGTTTGGGTTTCTGCTTCAGGAAGACATCTGCTTCTATGAGAATATGCAAAAGACACAGCATTGAGGGCCCAATTCTGCCCAAGTTGCAGTGTGGAAGCCATCACTGGTAGCCAGTATCACACATGACTTTCACTTACAAGGTCAAAAATGACATCCTGTTGCCTGCCCATGGAGGCCCCACGTGGCCACACCCTAGAAACATTGCCCCCTTCTGCATGGAGCCAGAAGGCTCAGCCTATAGGCTGACAGTTCAAAACATCTGGCCTCCATCTTCTCGGGGCTCCTCTGGGTAGTTCAACTCTAGGCAACTGTTGCCTTAAACTGTGGATTTAGGGACCACATCTGTGTGCAAGTAACCCCTACTTAACATAAACCTGCTCAAACTTTGCTGGGTGTTCAATGCCAGCAACAGGAGAGATTCCTCCAAGTTAAACAGGTCATTTAGTTTTAAAGACTATACAAATGGAACATAGAACACAGATCATACTTGAGTTGTTGGAGACAGCTGTTCAGGTTCTTGAGGGGCTCCTTGCTCACAGCGGGCGGGGGGCGCAGCAGCTCCTCCAGCAGTGAGGCTGGGACTGGGCAGTCGGGGATCCTGATGGGCGTCGCGGGGCTGGAAGAACTGGCCTCACCTTTCAGCTCCTTTCTCTGTTTATGAAAACACAACATTAGCTCTCCCACGGTCCCCTCCCTCTAGTCAGTCTCCACTGTCACAGCTTGGGTCAGATGGGCTCCCCTGCCTGATGCAGCACGAAGGGGATCACCCTGGTGGATAAATCAGCACAGCCTGACAGTCACACGAGTTCAAGAAAGGCTGGCAAAGCTCAAACAACCTGTGTCTTGGATCCTCAGGAGGATGGAGCTAAATCCTAAACTAGAATCCTCACAGGAGCTTTCTGTGAGAGCCCCACAGCCTTGACTTTGAGCTTCCCTAAGAATTTAAATAAAATTTCCAACTTATCAGACTGTCTCTTCTAGGACTTAAAACTTTTTTCATGAAAAGGCAAACGATGCTAAACCTCTGAATCTGAGAGACGCCTCCTGGAAAATATGGAGACTGAGTACAGAAAAACCGCCAGATGTGCAAACGCTCAGAGCGTCTTGGGGTTCCTGGCCCGAGCCCGCTCTGGGAGCCACTGCATCCTAGTCTTAAAACACAGCCAGGACTGCTCCATCACAAACCATTCTCTCACCTAGTTTCTAAAGCATCTTACAACAAAATCGTATTTGAACTCAAGAAAAGCAAATGTTCTGTCAGAAAAGGCACTAAAATAAAATGAAAATAAAAATGATTTGGTCCGTTGTACAAGCAGAATACTCCATTATCATTTACTTTCATACGATAGTTGCTAAGTGTTGGTTAAATATATCTTTTTATGTCTGAATGACTAGAAAATCTGCCAACCTCCCATCCAAACAAGTCTATAGCAGACACCAGTTAGCCTGAAAGGAGCGCGAGCCTAAATACCGTCTTTGCCGTGTTGCGGCGCAGGTCCAGCTTGAGCTGCTGGTTTTGCTGAAGGAGCGTCTTCATGTTGTTCTTCAGTTCTGACACTTTAGCTTGAAGCATAAATTTATCCTTCTGGGTCATAGACAGATCTTCCTGTACCAGCTCCAGCTCAGACTTGATATTCTACAGAAAGTGAAGACAGATTCTTAAAGTTAACAAAAAGATTTTAGACACATTGCTACAATCTTAGTTTGTATGTCCCAATTCTAAGGGATGAGAAATATGGCACTGATTTTTACAGAATGAAGCATGTGATGTTTCCATCACAATACAATTTCCCCTCCAGGTATCTAGATTGTGAAGGACCTAGTTACGAACACAGCCTCAACATTCTCATCCAAATTCCAGAGCCTCTGCCAAGGAACCAACAGTATCCCTATGGCCACATTCTACAACGAACCCCAAGAATCTCGTGTAATTTCCATGGTCAGCCACTATATAATTAGTCCACCATTCCTAAGACATGACATAAATCAATTCTAGTTGTGACTCAAACCATTCATTTCCAAGTGAGGAATCTCAGCATGTTCCTGATGCTTTCCTTGAGCAGTCAAGACCCTGTCTGTTGAGCTCTTCATAGGGAATACTATCACAAAATGGTAAACTTTTCACATACACTCTCCCGTTTACTGCATCTAATGAAATCATGTTCCTGGTATACTTCACACAGCTCAGCTGAGGGGTTGAAGCCTAAGCTTGTGATTTGGCTCTGCCTCCTTCCAGCTGTGTGACCTGGACCAGGTGACCACACCTTACACCTTCTGAACTGGGGACAATGTCTTCAGAATCGTTTGGTAGGAGCTTCTGCTACACACATCGCACAGTTCAGCACCAGTAACTGGGGACTGGGGTTATGATCGCTGACTAACTGGTGATATGTGGCCCCCAACTCTCTGCCCCAGAGTAGAACAGGTACCTGCAACAACTGCTGTATTCCTTCCAATTCTTTTTTGCCCTGCTGTTCAGTCAAGTCCAGCTGCTGCTTCAAAGACTGGATTTCTCGCTCTTTCTGATCCACATCCCATTTGAGGTTTTCCATCTACAGGGGGAGAAAGTCACATGACCAAAAGAATTTTAAAGAGGCTTTCTTGTACTGGAAAATTGCTCTAACTGTATTTCTGCTTATCTTTTCATACCATATTTAGAAAAAATAAATATTCCCCTTTAAACAGACAAGGAACGAAGTTATCAAATGAATCTCTCGGCAGAGTCCTACTCTGTGCCATGGGAATTGGGGACTCAGGAATTGAGGATGGGAGTCATCCACACATCACCTCTTGGTTTCCTAAGGGTTGTTTATTCAGTTGTTCATCCAGCTGCTTCTGCAGGAGCTGGAGCTGGGTCCGGGCCTCAGCCAGCTCTGCCTGGAACTGTGCTATTTCCTGGGAATGTTTCCCCTCCCGAATCCTAGCACAAAAAAAAAAAAAAAAAGAAAGAAAGAAAGAAAGAATGGGATGACAGCGTTCTTCCAGCATGCCTTCCTACTCTCAAATGCTACCAGATGTGTCCATCCTGGTGAGACTCCATACTGTTCACCCTGTGCTTGGGACCATTCTAGGTGCTTTACAATGCATCATCTCAGCTAATCCTAACTAAACCCCCAGTAAGACATACTTTTTGAACACATCTCACAGATTACAGCGGTGAGTCACTGCTGCAAGACCACACAGTGAGTGGTGGCCTCCAGAACCACCAGGATCAACGCATGTGCAGCCCCAGACCTGGCCCAGTCACTCTACATATCTGACTCAACACTGCATTAGCATGGAGTTTGTGATGAGCCTCTCAGTGTCAGGACACAGCCTTCAGGGTAAAAGCTCACATTGGGGCTCTTTCTGTTCTCAGGAAGGTCAAGCAAGGCAGAGAGTGGGCATAGGCAAGTGGGAGTGTTAAGCTCAGACTTCCTGAGACATGAGTCAGGTACATTCTACTCCTTTGATTTGCCTCCAAAGTACTTAACAATTTGCTAAAAAATAGGTGACCCCTCACTGTGTTGAATATGCTGAATTAAAGATGGAGGAGAAGATCCTAGCAAGGAGGTCTGGTGGCAGTGGCCCTGCACTGGCCCCTTGTGCCATCTCTGCACAGGGCCCAGGCACTCACTGGAGGCTGTCAGCCTCTGCCTGCAGCTTCTGCACCAGGTGCTCCTTGGCCTGCAGCTCCTTCTTCACCTCGCTCAGCTCCAAGGTGGCCGCCTTGAAGTGGCGGCGGTTATGCCCAGCTTCCACTCTGGCAGCAGCCACCTAGAAGAAAGGAAGCCAACGTTATCAGTGAGAGTAATGCACATGCAATGCCTGAGGCTTTACAATGCACCAAGTGCCAGCAGGTGAAGTTACCTCCCCACACCACGCTCATTCTGGCTGCTCAAGGGCTTTTTCTTCCCAAGTTTATCAAGTTCCTTATAAAGATTAAAGTACGTAACACAGTGCCAGCAGACCTTACATGTATGACATATGGCTACTACTACCTGTTGAATGAACAAATCTATTCAAGATTTTCTTGGTCTAAACAGCTTTTATAGTCTTCAAGTACACCTGCATGTTTCTGGTTAGATTTACTTGTAGTCCACATATGTTGAGAGGAATCTACTTTTCCATCATGCCAATCTGACTGCAATAAAGCTTCTAATTGTTATCTACTTTTTTTTTTTTTTTTTTTTAAAAAGATGACCGGTAAGGGGATCTTAACCCTTGACTTGGTGTTGTCAGCACCACGCTCACCCAGTGAGCTAACCAGCCATCCCTATATGGGATCCAAACCCGTGGCCTTAGTGTTATCAGCACCGCACTCACCCGAGTGAGCCACGGGCCGGCCCCTTGTTATCTACTTATGATGTATCTAGCCTTTTGGAATTTTACTGCTTTTCATAGTTAAACATAGACTCTCTCAAGATTTCTAAGAGAGGACAATTCTCCGAGTATAACAAAAATTTCCATTTTCTTTTCCAATAATTTAATTTTCTTGTCTAATTTTACTAGCAAGCATGCTATTTAAAAGCAAAGTTTAATAAAAATATTTATAGTATATGACAGACAAATATAGAAAGAGCTCTTACAAATCAGTTAAAAAAACACCTTCCATAGAGGATATTAACAGTTTGTCAACAGGCAGAGATTCAAGGTGATCTGTAGTTTAATCTTTACACTTTTTAAAAACTTTTTATTAGCATGTACTATTGTTACAATCAGGACAAGATGATTAAATGCATTTAGAGAAAAAATTAAGCATCATTCTCAACTGTTCTTAAAAAAAAGAAATCGAGGGCTGGCTCGTGGCTCACTTGGGAGAGTGTGGTGCTGATAACACCAAGGCCACGGGTTCAGATCCCTATATAGGGATGGACAGTTAGTTCACTTGGGAGAGTGCGGTGCTGACAACACCAAGTCAAGGGTTAAGATCCCCTTACCAGTCATCTTTAAAAAAAAAAAAAAAGAAATCAGTCATATATACACTACTACCCCCCAGCACTTTTAGTTATGAATTTTCTAGTTATGTCTTCTTTTAAGGTAAGAATAATATTAAGTGATACCTAAGCACAGAGCAAAAGATAGGGGCTGGGTGTAGGAAAGTGGGTTGTGTTAGCTAAATCAGCTCAGAATCACTGGTCAACAGTAATTCCTGGGCAAAGACTAAACACCTACTCAGATGTGAATCAAGAACAATCTAATAACTGTTAATGTTAAAATATTCTTATCACATCTTAAAATTAGTTCTAATTTAAAAGAAGTTTTGCTGCCTCACCCAAGAAACAAAGAATCTTTTTCTTTTTATCTCTATTTACTGGATGCATGGTGAACACCTGGGTGTGGGAGGGGCCAGCCTTGAAGAGACACCTCCTATAAAGAACAGGGTCTACACAACCATCTTTCCTGTCTACATTTTTAACATAAATGGGATCATCACATACTATTCTGAAACTTACTTTTTTTTTTTCTTTTTTTGAGACCGGCCGCACCGTGCTCAGCCAGTGAGTGCACAGTGCACGGCCATCCCTATATGGGATCCGAACCCACGGCGGGAGCACTGCTGCACTCCCAGCGCCGCACTCTCCCGAGTGTGCCATGGGCTCGGCCCTGAAACTTACTTTTTTTTTTTTTTTTTTTTTAAAAGATGACCGGTAAGGGGATCTTAACCCTTGGCTTGGTGTTGTCAGCACCACGCTCAGCCAGTGAGCAAACCGGCCATCCCTATGTGGGATCCGAACCCAGGGCCTTGGTGTTATCAGCACCGCACTCTCCCGAGTGAGCCACAGGCCGGCCCGAAACTTACTTTTTTAATGCAACACTACACACAGGACATCTTTCCCAGCAAAACAGAAATATACACATACACACACAGCTCAATCTGTCTTGTCCTGGGCCTTCACAGCTACATCATGATCTAACCTAATGCCACCTTCTACTGACTCTCACAAGGCTCTCTACAGCCTCTCATTATCACCAACAACACTGTTCTCTGTGGAGTGAATTCCTGGAATGGACACTCCTGTGTGAAGTTTTCAGACTCTGAAACACTGTATGCAAGGCTCTGTGAGACTGTGATTTAAAAGCAGCTGTAAAGGGCCACACACCTGTTCCTTGAGGCTGTTTACTTTCACTTTTTCTTTCTCTAGTGAGGCTTGTAAGGCCTCAACGAGCTGCTTCATCTGGCGATCCTCCTCCTCTTTGCGCTGCAAAACCGCCTGCACCTAGATCACATTGCAGAAGGGTAAATGAGGAGGGACATCAAATTCAAAACACCTTACAGGGCCCAGGGAAAACTGCCATGTGGGGAACACAGCAGGACCAGGGCACACGTCAGGGAAGTAGAGAAAATTCCATCTCCAGAGAATACCGTTACAAGAAAAGAAATCTGAAACTGCAGGTACGATCACATGATCACATTCAAGAACATGGCTGGGAATCTAAAAGACGCATATAAGTCAGGTTACAAACTCAGATGGCTTTGCAGCCAGGAAGGGAATGCAGATGGGTAAAGCAGCCAGATACAAAAAGAATGGGAATGGTGGGGACAAAATAGAAGTTACCCAATTCTCTAATGACTGGGTAACTCAAGGCTGGGGGCTTGACATCCACAGGGGACGGGGGGAGTGCTGCCATTTTAAAGACTTCCCTGAAATGCCCGAGCCAGTCCTCAATCCACAGATGCCGTAGAGCCCAAGGATCTAAGCATTACTTAATGGGATATGGTCTGAGAGATGGGTTGTTAAGGTGATTTTGTCATACAGCCTACCACATACCAAGGCCATATGGCACAGCTATTATAATCTTATGGGACCACGGTTGTATATGCGGTCCCGTCATTGACCAAACATCCTTATGTGGAGCGTGACTGTATTATGTTTTTTCCTATACATATGTACCTATGATAAATTTTAATTTATAATTTAGGCACAATAAGAGATTAACAATAGCATGAATGATAACTTAGAATAATTAGAATATACTGTAATAAAATTATGTGAGTGTGGTCACTCTCTCAAAACATCTTACTGTTCTGTACCCACCTATTTTCAGACCATGATTGACTGTGGGTAACAAACTATGGTAAGTGAAGCCGTGGATGGGGGTACTGCTGTATGACATTTACAGTGCGATTCCCTCTGCTTCTGGTAAATGAGTTTGAGTACCTGGAGATTCAGCTGGACTAGGTCTGCCTCCCTCTTGGCCAAAGCTGTCTCTAAGATGCTGTTGTGTTCCCGCAAGGCCGCGTTGGACTGTCCAAGGCCCGTAAGCTTCCCTCTCTCATGCTCTAATTCGAGAGCCAACTTCTTATTGGACTCCTCGAGGCGCTTTATCTTCCTTCTAAAGCCTCTGGATTCTTGAAGCTGAAACATATCAAGGTAACTGTGAAATTATGTGCTCTGGTTAATGGAGTTATTACGTACACCTGAAACAGGTGAGCAGTTTTTCAACAGGAAACAGTTAATACTAAAACACAACAGTGAACAACACACAAACTGCCCTTGCTCTGTTACCTGAAAGACTGGTGTGGCTGTAGCCAGGTGGTTCCCTAGCCCCACTCCTTACTCCCTATGGCCAATAGCCCAGCCTTCTTGTGGGACCATATACTTCTGGGGACTCAGCCCTGGCCCAGGCCACACCACTTGGTAGTTGGGCATGGGACTGAGCTGGCCTCACAAAATATATTCAGGATGGGAACAGAGATGATAACTGAGAGGCCCCTGGGGACCCTAACAAGGGGCAGGGTAGGTAGAGAGGCGGGCCAAAGGCAGTGACATGAGCCCTTGGTGATGGTGCTCAGCTGCTACTAGCACCACTGGAAACTAGAACTGTCCTTGAACCTATGAGCTATGAGGAGTTCTTTCAAAGGTTTGAGTTGGGTTTCTTATTTGCAACCAAAACATTCTGAGAGAAGGGCTACCATTATGAATTGCAATGACCACTCTACTGGAGAGGCCAAAAACACAACTGTCCTCACTAGAGTACTGATAACAGGGCCTACTCCGCCAAAGAGCAAGAGTCTGCAGTCAGAGAAGACAAAAATGCCAGTGGCCACACTGAGCACAGTGAGGCTCTGTTGCTCTCCAGAGCCCACTCACCTCAGCCTCCCGGTCCTGAGTGACCCATTCCCTCACTGCCGCAACAGCAGACTCATGGGTGTTACCTCATCCTCCAGCTCCAGCACCTTTTCCCGGGACTCCTCCAGCTCCTGGCTGGTCAGTGCAATGACCTCCTGCAGCTCCTTCTCCAGCAGCATCTTGCTGTGGCTGAGGGTCTGCAGCTCCACCTCCAGGGCCTGGATCCTTTCCTAACAGCCAGGATGGAACAGCACGTTTGGTCACCGGGCCTGACAGGCTCTCACCTGCCTTGCCTCCCATGGGTCCTACAGGCGTGAAGCTGTGTGGCCACACACCTGACTGCTGATAGCCAGCAGTTGTCTGAACACATCTTACAACAATTCCCTTTCTTCAAAGGACCTAAATTAACTAACCATAACATGTACACACTAGTGACACAGAAAGTAACACTAGGACAAAGAAAACCACCTTTTTGGTTAAATGCTTTGAAAATACAGAAATAATCTGACCTGCAGATAAAGGTTATAAATGACCATCTATCAAGTAAGCAGCACCCAGCATAATATAATGAACAACACACATGCAAGCACACACACACACATATACACGCACGCACATGTGCTCACACATGCATACTTGCTGCCATTTTGGTACCAGGCCCTGTTCCAAGCATGTTCCATATGTCACCTCACTTAACCATCTAATGAGTGAGGTTCTGCTATTTACCTCTTTCTGGCTCTATTTTACTGGGAATGAAAAAGGTGAGCAATTTGCCAAAAGTCCAGACAAGCCCTCATCTAGGCTCTCAGGGCCTGGCTCCTCCTCAGCTGCTACAGGCCATGCGGCAAGGAAACTGGGTTCTATAAGCATTCACCCCCTCTCGCCCTGACCACTTGATCCAGAGAATAAATACAAACAATAGAGACATATTTTAAAGTAGAATGAGAAATGGCAATTAAATAAATCCCCTCAACATACTGTAAAGTAACAAGGTTAGAGGGAGCATTTAACTTAATCTACTTAAATTGACATGAAAACACCATGTTATGAAATGATCTACTACCACTGGTAAATTTCTAAGTGGAGAGGAGACAGAAACCAACTGCATGCAGAAAGAAACGATCACTAAGATGTCAAGAATAAATACAAACTGGGGAATAATAAATAAAATGCAAATGAATTCACTCAGGCAGAATTTTACACCTCCCAGTAAAAGTGAGAGGAAACAGCAGGTCAACCTGCATTCTCCAGACCCCGGCCCCCACCCTTGTGGGTCCTGCACAGAGAGCCCCTCTACCTAAGACTGCCCCTTGGTCCCTGCAGTGCCTCCTGTCTATTGTGGAGCATTTCAAATGTTGCCTGCTCCAAAAGCTTTCCCGGACTCTGCCAAACCCTGACCCCTGACCCCCTCACACCCTCACTCTCGCCTCTTGGCAAGTGCATGCTCACAACACTTCCTCCATTCACACCAACACCTCCCGAGACACTGGAGCAGGCACAGAGAAAACAGGGTAGGTGGGCTAGGTGCAGGTCCCACCTCTGCCCCTCACAGTATCTGAGTTTTTCTGAGCCAAGGAGGTTCGTCAATGAAAATAACGTTAACACCACAGCCCATGTAGGACTTATGAGGATCAAATAAGGTAACGTACATAAGTCATAACCAATGTACATAAGTCATTACACTGATACCAAGCAGTGTTTTAAAGAAATGCCTAAACATCTTAGTTCTGCCTCCTTTCTCCTAAACCCCTTTACTGGGTTTGAGAGAGGGAAATGTTTACAAAACATCCTTTCCCTACATTGAGAAGCTTCATGACCCTGACCGGGGACAGACCTGGTGTTTACCTACATGTAGAGCGAGGTCACTGCCGCTGCTGCTGCTGCCCTGGGCTCTGAGCTGGCTCAGCTCCGTGTCCACAGCCTCCTTAGCAGCGAGCGCCTCCTGCAGGCGGCGGCTGAGGATCCCCACAGCGTTCTCATAGGCCTTGTGCTTGGTCTTCATTTCTTTCTGGGCGCTGGTCAGGTCCGAGCCCAGCCGCTTCATCTTCTGCTTCTGCTCTGTGATGGCCCTGAGGTGTCACAAAGGAGTCGCAGAGAAAGAACCTGGATTAGCCTCTCACTGAGCACCCAGCTTCCTGGAATGCAACATCCAGGAACAGTGAAGTGCACTTCAGAAGTTCAACCTCAAGGGCTGGCACAGGGGCTCAGACTCCAGGCTCTTGAGAGGCCACCTCAGCTCAACCCTTGGCCATCGCCCTCCCCACAATCCAACTTCCCCTAGGGAAAACCTGGGTGAGCGTGTGCCTGTCCTATTGTGGCTGCTGTGAGGTGTCCCTGCAGAGCCAAGAGGCAATAAGCACTCAGTGGACATGAGCTGTTTCTAGCCACACCATTAGACCTGCCCTTTTGGGATGGTTTTAAAATGATCTAGTGAAGGGAGAGAAACAGCCCGCTCCTACCAAATAGAAACGTTTCTAATGTTCTTCTTAAATAAGAGCAACAAATTTGACAACCACCTTCATGAGTAAATCACCAGCTGATAAAAGCAAAGTAACTTAGGATACGCCCATTGGGGTAAAAAAGCCCCCAAGGGGCTGTCAGCGTGTGCATGTGTGCACACACAGGAGAGCGCATTGGAGTCTGCATGCTTACATTTACATGAGCACAAACGGGTGTGAAGGAAGAATTGAAGCGCTGTCCCCGGGAGGGAGCTGGGGTGGGCGGCTGCTGCCACAGCACAGGCACGAAGGCAAACACACACGGAAGGGGAGTCATGATAAAGAGTGCTTTAGGAAATTAGCTCATACACTGTGGGGTTATTCTGTAGAATAAGCAACTACATCATGATGGAACTTTAAATCTAGAACTCAGCATGCCAGGCCACTTTACGTGGGCCAAGTCCGCTGCATGCTCAGGCAGGGCTCCTTCCTGCCCTCAGAGGGGCCGTGCCGCACGCACACTTACTTCTTGGCCTCCTGCTGCAGCTCCTCTATCTGTTTCTTTAGCACCTCGTTGGCCTCTGTAAGAGCGACCATCTGCTCTTTATCGAACTGCAAAGACTTCAAAAGAGGGAAAGACAATATGAGCCGTGTAAAGCTGCTCACCCCAAAGTCCATCTCCTCGTGGGACATGGTGCCCTCAGGGCCACCTTTGGGGATGTAAGTTTTGAAGGAAATTCTGACAGGGACCTTTACTTTCTCATAAACGACACTTTGTAAAGGTCAAGGGCTGGCCAGTTAGCTCAGTTGGTTAGAGCACAGCCTTGTAACACTAAGGTCAAGGATTCAGTTCCCCATACCAGCCAGCCACCAAAACAAACCCAAAAAATACAAATGTAGATGTCAAAAGCATTTCCAGATGCTGTGTCCGGAGCAGCAGAGGCACAACAGAGAGGGATGAGTTAAAAGAAAGCCTCCACACTGTGGACCTGCCTGAAGCCCCCAAGAACTCCCTCCCAGGAGTCCCCCAGAACCTACTTTCCCAGGACCCCCCCCCCAGAAGCCCCTCCCTAGAAGCTCCACCATGAACCACTATGTGAAGAGCTTCATGTCCCCCTCCCCCACTCCCTCCCTTACTGCCTTTTCTCACCTCCTTCTGTGTGGAGAGAATAAGTCCCACAAAAGTGGCTCAGTCACAGTAACAAATGACTACACAAGCTTGGGGGGCTTGTGCCCCACCCCCAGACCCAGGGCCAGCCTGCCAAGCACAGCCCACTGCCTGTACTGATCAGTCCAGGGCCCCCCACCTGCACCCTCATGCCTTCACACCACTGACCTATGGGGGTCTGAGCTCAAGGCCTCAGTCCAGCTCCTCTCAGGGCCAGACACACAACCAACCTGCCTGCCTGGCCCTCTCCTGCGACTTCAGAAAGGTCCCATGCAAAGCAGAGCCCGTGGTCTAACATCCTGCCTGCCATACCCCAAGTTTACTGTTCCTCCCCCAATTTCTCACCTCAGAAAACGTTCCTCAGCCCGGACATACGGACATGAATCTGCACAGCGGCCCCCGTCTCCCGGCTCCCCACGTGCAGATCAAACCTCGCCAGCTTCCACTGGACTCATTAGAATACCCAGGCTCCCACTGTGGGGCTTCCAAGAGGAGCAAGACTGGATCCTGCCCATCCTAGGTCCACACTCCATCCACACGGGACTCTGGGAGTCCCTCAGACCCCGGGACTCTGGGAGTGCCCTGCCCTGGCTTTCTGCATGGCGGCTGGCTCCCACAGCCAACTGCAAGAGTGGGGCCTCCAAGAACTCTGGTAGCGCCTGCCTGTTTATTTCCTCCACACAGTGTCATCACCAGAACCTCTCTGTCTGTCCCCACCAGGACATAAGCTCCAGGAGGGCCTTGTTCCAGGGTGTTCTTCTAAAAGCCTCTCCCCTCGTGCCTCACCTGGCCTGTGCGCCCTGCCCCACCCTGCACATGTAAGTCCTAAGTACATTGAGCTGAACCTTCACAACTCAGAGGGAATCAACCACCACAAGCCACAGACCTGCAGGTGCGCCTCCATCTCATCTCGCTCCTTCTGCGCCGACTGGAGATGCCCTTCGAGCTCTGCCATCTGCTGATGGACTTGGGACACCTCCTTCTGCAGGCACGAGTGCTCCAGCTGCACAGCCTGTTTCTCCCCCTGCAGTTTCATTAACTCCTGCCTCAGCTCCTTCACCTCTGCATCCAGCCTCTTCTTTGTGGCTTTCAGCTCACTGATGAGCTGGTCTTTGGAGGTGGCATCCCGCCGGTAGGCCTCCACCATTACCTGCCAGACAAGACAGAGCAATCAGCCAGTGCACGAGTGGGGTCTTCCCAGGGGCAAGCCAGCTGAAATAAAAATGTACACCACTTATCTAGGGTGAAACTTTGAGCTAAAGATAACATATTTCATCAAGTCTAAGACACCATCAACTGAAACACACCACTATTTTATGCACCAGGTGACATCACCATGCCTTAACAAGTCTGCCTAACGTGTGATGCAGCCATGCCAGCCTCCAAGACAGCTCAGCTACTCCAAGGAATCTGGCCATTTCTTCTCCCATTGGCTGCATTGCTTGGCTTCTGAGAGGCAGTCCCCTTATTCGTATATCAGTAACAACACGTAACACCACTTACAACACTGCTTTGCAGGACCTTCCTCTCCCAGATCCCATGAGGCACTCAAATGACATTTTGCAAGAAATAAAGGAATCATCCATCCCTCCAAGAGATGCTGGCTTTCTCAACATAAATTTCACGTTCATGCTTTTGTGAGTGCAACAAACACTGATTCGACATGAGGTCCTGGTGTAAATGTTTCAAAGACATTCTCAACAGCAAACTCAACCTGTATAGCGATGACAGCGCACAATGCACAGCTCTCTGAGGTGACAGCAGGGTGCCATGACACGTGCTGCTGCAGAGTCTGGGACCACAAACGCCTGCCTCGCTGGGACACGCACCCAACTTCAGAGAGTAAAATGTGAGGGGGAGGATATTTCAGAATCAACAAAATGCCTTAAAAAAAATTAAGATGGAATCTAGATGTCAGCTTCTTGATCGATTTTGTTCTATCAGAGCAATTAAACCATATAGGACTTTGCACAAGTGTTTCCTTTTTGTCTTTTTTTTTGTGTCCGGCAACGGATCGCAACCCTCAGTGTTGCACCCGTACCGGACCGGACCGGCAACGGGATCACAACCCTCGGTGCTGCACCCGCACCTCGCTCAGCCAGTGAGCGGGAACCGGTCTATATGTGGGATCCGAACCCTCGGCGGGAGCGCCACCGCGCTCCCAAGCGGCGCACTGTAGCAGTGCGCCACCGGGCCGGCCCAAAAGTGTTTCACACAAAGAAAATCAACCACATTTTTACCTTTTGCTGAAGAAACTGCTCCTTTATTTTCTGTGTTTGCTTTTTCAGAGTGGCAGTCTCCTGCTGCAGGTGATCCACCTGTGGGGACATGTGTGTGCAGAGGTCACACTGATGGCTCCAGGAGGGAGCTGTGCCTGAGGCACCTGCTAAGAGCCAGCCTCACGTCCGCGTACAGAAGAAGAGTCTGCAGCCTGACATGCGTAGATGGACATCCCCATTCTCTCCATAAAGACGAGGTGAGGGGACACTCTAGACTAGGGGTCAGCAAGCCTGGGCTGAAATGGCCAGACTGGAAACACCTCACTCTGCAGGCCACATGTCTCTGACAGCTTCTCAGCTCTGCACTTGCAACACAAAAGCAGCTGCAGACAGTCCGCAAATGAATGACGTGGCTCCGTTCCAATAAAACTTAACTTACAGAACCAGGTGCAGGGCTGGGCCCACAAGCCATATGCCAACCCTCAGCACTGCTTCCTTGCCCCTCAAAATCTGTCAGAGATCAGCCCACCTGCACCAGTTGGTAGCCTGAGAGAGGTGCAGAGTCCCAGGCTGCACCCAGAACTACTGAGTCAGATCTGCACTGGACATCCCCAGAGAGTTCAGGAACAATATAATTTATGACATGCAAAGTGGGCTCAGCAAAAAACAACTGTTCTAGAAGCCAGGTGATGAATGCTCTGAGGGTTTGGAAAGCATCATCCCACGGTGATGACAGAGATGCCACAGTGAACCACGTCACACAAGGAGAGTTTTCCGAAGCCCCAGGAAATCACATCCCCTATCAAGCTTCAGCGTGCATGTCTGGGCGACTGACTAGACATGTGGCTTCACCGTGCATGTCGGGGCAATTGTCTAGACGCGCCACTCCACCATGCAGGTGTGCAGTGACTGTACAGAAATGCAGCTTCAGCATGCAGGTGTGCAGTTACTATCTCTAGAAAAGCAGAAGTGCTTGTTTAGGGCCAAGGTTTCCTATATTTGAATGATTCCTCCCCTAAGACCAGGATCTATTCCACACAAATCCTTGTTATCACTTGAGTACAATTAGGAAATAATCCATTTTTTCCTACAATATAGAGCTTTTTTCTAAGCTTCTCCTTCAAAAACCCTCCTGGGAAGAATCAATGTGCTAGTTTGCTCTACATGTGGAGCATTCATCCCCTATGACTGTTCTCACATCACATGCCCTGGTCCTACAGCAACTCCACAAAAGAGGAGGTGTGGTCAGGGCTGCACAGGGCTGTTTCAGAAATGCCTAAGGACACACACAGGTTGTAATGAGGCCAGGTGATGGGAAGCCAGCTCTATTTCCAAGTGAGGCTGACTGGTCCCCAGAGTAAAGAAAACAAACTTCAGAGGTAGAAAGACAGCTTCCCAGGAATGCCACCACCACTACTATCCAACTGATTTTAGACAGAAGGTGGTGTTTTCTGGTAAATTACTTTCAAAAGCCCCAAACAAAGCTCAGTTCCCCAGTTCTGGGCTTCTCCACCCCAGCAGCCAATGCAGGGCCAGACACAGCACCAGCTGCAGTGATAGCTTCCCCCGTGGAGCCCCGAGCCCTGTGCTAGCAGTGTTCTTCCACAGGTCACCCACATTTACACAAGAGCACATCCAAAGAAAGGACTAAACAATCACACCTACTCCCACACGTGTGACTGTGATTCACAACACAATGAGGCAGACGCATTACCTGGCTGGACTTAATGGCCACTTCCTGTCTTAATTCCTCTAAAATTCCTGATGATTCCTCGGTGCCTGCTTCTAAACGCTCTGCTCCTTTGTCGAATTCCTCCTTGCTGCTCTTGGCTGCCTGCAGAGCCACCTCCAAGACGATCTTCTCATTCTGCAGGAAGCGGATGGCATCCTCCCTGGAGGTGGCCTCTCCCTGCAGCTCCTCCAGCCTGGCCTGCAGCTCATCGTAGTGCGTCTGCAGGTCCTCAAGAGACTGCTCCCTGGTCTGCACAGTCTCATGTGCCACAGTGAGCTGCTTCATCAGGTCCAGGTGCTCCTGCTGCAAAGCCTCGAGCTGCTGGTCTCGCTGGTGCAAAGTCAACTTTACCTGGGAAAAAGATAATAAATTCAATATGGCTGCTCTTGACCCTACACTAAAATAACTGAATTCATACTTTCTCCCTGTTCAGGTTTTAAATAATGTTGATGGACACTTTAAAGGGTCTTTTTAATGCAAAATTCTGGTGTAGAAGAATCCTATCAGAAGTCTACAGTAGCAAATACAACAGACAGTCTGACACAACCTGCGCCTACATGGCCAGACCCAACATGGTAACCGCACCAGCTACCTGTGTGCGACCTGGGATGCTCAGGTGGGCCTCAGGCCAGTGTCCAGGCCAGAGTGGCGACAGGCACTTGCCTGCTCAAGCTGCTGCTCCAGGGCTGCGGCTGAGTCTGCCATCTTCTGCAGCTGCTCCCGCTCATCCTCAAATGCTTCCAGCCTCCTCTGGAGGTCCTCCTCCACCATCGTCTTCGCCTCCTGAATCTGCACAAAGGCTGCTTCCTGATCCAGCATGTCAGCCTGGGCCCAGGAAATAAAGTGCTTTCTGAAAAGTGGAAAACCTGATTGCCAGCTGCAGGTTGCAAGCCTCACACTTCACAGGGAAGCCCGCGCCCCTGGCGAGAGGCCCTTGCTCACAGCACAGTCCTGTCCAGGGGCTCCTCTCCCACCAGCCCAGCCTAGTCCTCCTCTCTGCTGACTCAGGGCCTAGCCAGAGAGAAGCAGCACACAACCCAACTCTAAGAACTGGGGTCAACCAACGAGTGAAGCGCCCTGGCCATTCCCATGTGAAGACAGGTTGGTGGCATTACATGGAACATTCTCTTTAGTATTGACTGACACCACCTGGTGAAACAAAGTAAGAAACCAGGGGACATGAGGACAAACAGGGCATTCCTTGCATTTTGACTATACAAATAAGACCTTACACCTAGGTACACTTTTTAGGAATAAAATGTTAGTTTATAACTTCACATTTTTTTCAGTTATTTTAACTGAGCCCTTGAAGTGTTATGGTTGACAGGACATGATTCTCTTCCATTATCCAACTCAAGTGGCCCATGTGACCCCCACAGAGGGAGAGGCAGGTACAGAGCACTGAGGAGAGAAATCAAGCAAGCACAGGAAGCCAACCTTCTCTGTGACATGAGAGACCTGCAACAAAGTCAGCCCAGCAACATATTCAGTACCATTTTATACACTGTCTAGATGTTCAATACGGTTTTGCTTCTTTACTTTTTCCAACGATGCTATTAGGTAGGTATTAACCCCCATTTTCTAAAAAAGAAAATGAGGCTCAAAGAGGTCAAGAAACAGTCCAGGGTCTTGCTGCAAAAAAGAGAACAGGTATCTGGATCCAAGTCAGAGCTACTATCCATTCCACCCTCTGCAGAGGAGCTGTGCAGGCAGCTGCCAACACCACAGCGACTTCACGTGGCTGTCGGAGGATTAAACAGCCATGCAGGCTGAGTGTCAGAAACAAATGAACCACTGTCATCACTGGGCTCTGAAAAGTGGTGGCACACACAGATACCCTAAGCCCCTTCGTCCCTTCCCACTCCGGGCCCAACACCATCCCTAGCTGGCAGTGACTGGCTATGAGGGACAGAGGCCGGGCAGGTTTAAAGAAGAGCTCCAGGTTCCCTCAAGACGTCCAAGTATTACCCACTCAACAGACAACCTTAAACAGCTACCACTGCAGGCTGTTCAAGGAACATTTTAAAAGATATATATGTATACAAGAGAAAATATATTATGTGCATTTACGTGCATGTCTGTTTTCTTACTCTTCCCAGCAGGACCCCAAGGCACATACAGATCAGCTCTCTGCCCCAACGCAGCCTCACCTCAATGCTCTGCAGCTGCATGGCTATACGCTCCTTCTCCTTGATAGACCTGTGCTGTGTCTCTGTCAGCTGGTGGGACAGGGACACATTCTCAAGCTTTAGGTGCTCCAAGAGGCCCGCCTGGGTCATCTGTCCAACCTTCAGAGAAAAAATCCATAGGGTAAAAAGTCGCTCAGTTCCAAGCAAGAAGCGCAGACCAGCTGCCCCGGAGGCCCCAGGTGAGGATCTCTGCCCAGTGACGGCCACTGGCTGCCCCTCTCAGTGTCTCCCACACACACCACCCCACCTCGAAACTTGGGCCGTCCGGGTTCTGTGTGACGAAGTAGGGAAGGCTGGCGGCCCATAAATCATGGGTCATTGCACTCAAGACTGTGCAGTCTACGACAGGACCTACACAAAGTTTCCACTGCAGGTGCATCTCTCACCACCCAGGTGAGGAGCCTTATCCAAACCAACCAAATCCAGTCAAAACACACCCCAGGCCTGACTGCCTGACATGCACTGTTCCCATGAAGCAGGCTTCACAGCCCAGCCCTGAGCCTGACCTCAACCAACCATCTCCTCGAGAAAAAGGAGCCCCATGTGATGGCCCCCAGAGGAGTAAGTGGTCTGCAAAGAAAAGCAAGAACTGAAAAGAAGTGTGAAGGCAGACTGCGGTCTGTGCCTGGAACTTCTCCCACATCACTTCTGGCCCTAGTGACTGTTCCTAGACTTACAAGACACCAAGATGTGACAGCAGTTGCAGGCTTCGAGGTCTAAATGAAAGCTGCATGGAGCAGGGCAGACAGCATTGTTCCCCACAAGACAGAAGTGTGACCTGCCAGGCCCTGTGCCTGTGTCTCCCCCGAAGGGCATCCTGGGTCATACCTGGATGTGAGCCATCTCACCCTGCAGCCGGACCCGGGCCTCCTGTGCCAGAGCGAGCTGCTGCTGGTACCACTGCCGGACGCTCTGCAGTGATGAGATTTCGGCCTGGGACGCCTTCAGCTTGCCGGTCAGCGCCGTGCGCTCCAACTGCACCTGTTGCAGCTGGCTCTGCAGGGCTGCCATCTGCTGCCGGAGGTCATGCACTGAAAATGAGCAAGCACAGCCAGTTCAGCTGGCGGCTACCAAAGGAGAGCCCACAGCACTGGCGGACATATGACGCACAGTGGGGCTCTCTGTAGACAGCAAGAAACACAGTTGATCTGGTTATTCTCAGTGGTGTGTCCTATAAAGTCCCCGTGACACTGGGCCACTGGTCCTGGGGGAAACAGGGCTGATCACAACATTTTCATCAACTGTCAACACATAACCGTTGTCGATGTGTTTCGGTTTAAAGACACCTTATTTAATACTTATTATTTATTCATTAACACTGAGGTCACAGCCAACAGGCCTCAGTGAAGCTTCTCTAACAAATACTCACATCTCTTCCATGAAACATAACACAGCCTCCTTGCACCTAAGAATACCAGACAGTGTTTGGGGCCATTTTAAATAGGAAAATCATCCAAAAGAGCACAAAACTGCAAACATGGCACTGAATAGACCACAAAAAGGACACCTGTCCACAGTCTGAGCTGAAGCAAGAAGGCACTGGTCAGGTAAGGCCTTGCAACCCAGTGTTACAAAACTATTTTGGTGTTCAGAACCTTTTGGATTTTATAATGTTTTCTAAAGGACTGAGTATCATAAACTACTCAAAGACTTAAAAATTAACAGCAATTAAGAGTCTGTCACATTGTTTCTCAGCTGGCTTTTTCTCTTTTCCACTATTAGAACCACTGTGACAGCGGTTTGTCACTTTTCCCTTTACATCATCAGACCTGAAATCGGACTCACTGCCTTATGGGAAAACTCAATGTCACATAGACACAGTCCTTCACGCATCGCTCAGACAGCCCAGAGCTCTGAGAGAAGAATCTCATCTCTGTAGCCTACGTGGGAGGATTTTGGATCTGGGTTGACTCTACATCCCTCAGGCTTTGATCTTCCATCTTCCCACTCTGCTTCACCCACTCCTTCCCACTGTTCAAACAACATGTTCTGAGCAGGAAGACCAGAGGCTTCCTGGCACCCACTGGGTGTTGGAGCGTTGACAGTGGGCCTGGCTTGGGTGGAAACTGAGGACAGAGCACCAAGGACAAGCAGACAGCACAAGGGAGCCACAAGGTGCTCTCCCTTCACTGCCAGCTGCTACATCCCTGCAACTCCACAGTACCGCTTCTTGGCCATTCTCTAGCTCAGCCTGACAGGGAGCCAGCTGGACCTCTGTGGACTAGGTTTACTAATCAACAATCTAAGTGTTGCTTCAAAATATTTGAGGTAGAATCTGCAGTTCTGTGGAATAACCAGGCAGCTCTACTCCTCAACAACACCGGACCTTCAAGACAGATTGAGTGGGAATGATCACCACTGATGGTCAAAGTCCAACGTCAATTTTTGAGACCCAATTCATTTCTCTGGGTGCTTATACAAAAATGTACAGGATTCCATGAGTTCAACAGAAATTATACTTACTTTAGAAAAGTAACGCCTTATATGTAACTTGGAAGCTAATGCAACTCCACAGCCCTACCAATATGATGGCAGCAGAGTTCCCACAGCCTCTGCTTACTGGGCAGCTGCACAAGGACCCTCACCTGTGTTGTCCCTACTGAGGATGTTCTTCTGCATGTCCTCCACTTTGGCCATGAGCCTCTGGTACTGCTCCTCTGCCACCTGCAGGTCATTGTTTGAGGATGCCAGGCTGGCATTTTTGGCTTCCAGCATGTTCTGCAGGTCAGTCATGGCCCGCTCCAGATCCCAGCAGGACTGCTTCAGGGTGTCCACCTCTGAACTGAGGGAGTCCTGTCTCTGCTGGCTGCTGTGGCTGTGCTCCATCTGCGCCTGCAGCCTTGTGCTCAGGGCGGCCAGCTGGGCCTGCAGCTCAGCCTTTTCTTTAAGTGCCTGAAAAGATCCCCAAACAACCACACTGACTTTCAGAAAGCGAGTCACTCCCATCCAGTATGTTCACAGGACTACAGAAACATAATCAATGAGATGAGAAAGATGCCCAACAGGTGGACTTTCCATCAAAATGCTATGCTTCCAAGCCACCCAGTCACTCTGCCATTGACAGTTATCCCAAAAGAAAATGATTTTCCAAACAGGCCCATGAGGCAGGAGGAGACACGTGCAGAGTCTGCACTAGTCTTAGGCATAGCAGGGCAGCATTCAGGGAGAGCTGTGGAAGCACCTTTTACCTGCAAGGATGTTGGAAAATACAACTACATTTGTAAAAAAAAAAAAAAAAAAAAAATACACACACACATTCTCTCAAAGCAGGAACATCAGCTGTATTGAGAGATCCCTAAAAGATAAAAAGCAGTCAGGTTCAGATCTGGAGGAAATGAACAGAACACATCTGCAGGGAAAGGCTGCTGTTACATAAGAGAGGTCACAAGGGGCTCCAAACGGAGCCACTGGACACGAGCAGCCCTGAGTGACCGCAGCAGCACTGAGCTGTATTGAGAGATCCCTAAAAGATAAAAAGCAGTCAGGTTCAGATCTGGAGGAAATGAACAGAACACATCTGCAGGGAAAGGCTGCTGTTACATAAGAGAGGTCACAAGGGGCTCCAAACGGAGCCACTGGACACGAGCAGCCCTGAGTGACCGCAGCAGCACTGTCTGCAAGATAAAGCCAGGGATGAGAGGAAAGACCCCAGGAGCAGAGAGAATGGCTGCAACAAGAAAATAGGCATAGGGCATGAACCCACCTGCCCATCTCACATCCTGCCCATCCTAAAGTTGACACAGGGAATCAAAGTTCACACAACATCACGACGACAAATGACAGATGCAAAAACCAGAAAAAACTCCCAAAGAAATTGAGTTAACTGAGCAGATGCAATGAGATTTTAGGGAGAGTATAATTAGCATCTTCAGAGAGACATCAGAAATCATCACACCCAGAACAATCTATGCTAGTCTTGGCTTGGACAAGCGAAGCACTAATCAGTGATCCCAGGAGGATAAGAAAGTAAAGTAAAAGCAATCTAAGGTTCTTAGATTGTTCTAGAGATTGAATATACAGACGAAGTGGAAATGCATTTGATGAGAGGGTTATATTCAAAAGTAGTATATAAAGTGAAAACTGTGTACAACCAAAATTAACCTCAAAATCTCTGAGATCACCTCTGTTGCAGACACAGTTTTACATATCATAAAGTACATGGATTGTGTCCAAGGACCATGTTGTACAAAAAAGTCATATTCGACATGACACTCCCATTTCACAAAGCAAGCTTCTCTCACTACGAGCTGCTCTATCTCCCATCATCCCTTGCTCTGCAGCACATACTCCCTGAAAGAAACACCCTCCCCACTTCCACCACAGTGCCTCCTGGCGCTGCATGTATGTTCTCACATACCAAAAGTGGACAGCTGAATTCCACCAAACTGATTTACTCTGTTGATAGACAAAAAACTAGTTCTTTGCCATCAACAGAAGTACATACAACAAAATGATGAAGGAAAGCTGAAAATTAAGGAATGGAAAATGATTTTTCAGGCAAATGCTAACCAGGTATAGCAAAAATAATATCAGAACAAGCAGAACCAGGGCTGGCCAGTTAGCTCACTCAATTACAGTGTGGTGCTGATAACACCAAGATCAAGTGTTCAAAGTTGAACCTACTGCAAAAAGTATTAAAGGGGCAAAGATGAATAGTTTACCATGCCAGAAAAAGGTGCAAACCACCAAAAGAATTTAACTATTACAAACTATTAGGTTCCTAACATCTAGGAAATATTCTGGGCAAATTCTGATGGAGATGCAGAGAGAAACTGACCCATACACCCTCAGAGCAGGAAACCAACACACCTCTTTCTGAGGCTGACAAATCAAACAGAAAAAAAAGTAAGGATATAGAAGACTTGGTTGCTGCTGCTGCTGCTTATTTAAACACAATTTGTAAAATTCTGCACCCAATGAAGAGTGATCACACATTCTTTTCAAAGACATAGCACATTAACACATTAATCAAACATCCATTACCTGACTAGCCTCTAATGACAAAGCTTCCAGCTGTCCTTCCAGTCTCGTCTTTTCTTTAAGAACCTGCAGCATTTCATCCTGAGTTTCAGCAATAGAGCTTTCCAGGGACACACTGGAGGACAAAGGACAGGAGCAGGTGGTGGGATAGTGAGTGTCATTACTTTCCTTAGCACTTCTCCATATTTTCCAGATTCCACACACCCCTGCTACTCTCCCATATTTTTTGTAAAATAAGTAAAAAGACAAGTAGAGAGCTAAAGCTTGTATAAATGCTACTGATGGACACCCAGCAAACAGCCAGGCATTTCCACATGGCTGGAACACCCTTAGAAAAGAGAGCCCACTGGGATGACCGGTTAGCTCACTTAGTGAGAGCATGGTGCTAATGACACTGAGGTCAAGGGTTCAGGTCTCCATGCCAGCCAGCCACACACACACAAAAAAGAAAGAAACAGGAGCCCACATAAGTATCTGTGCAGTTTTAGAAACAGATCTGTACAAATATTGGAAGCTATTTTAATATTGCAGACTAAGCTAATCAGATTTCATTCTATTTCTTGCACAGTAACAGAGTTGTGTATAAACGAAACGTTACTGTAAGACTAAAGATGGAATGAAGAAAGAAAAATGACGTATCAGCCTGCTCCAGTAACAGAGCACAGTGGTGCCTTGCCTCCTGACTAGCCCTGCCCACCCCCACCTGCCTGCTCGCACCTGCTACAGAGACTGTCTCTCCGGCTCCGCACCTCCCCGTTGACTTCCTGCCCCTGGTCTAGGTGCTCGGCTGCTGCGGCCTGGAGGACGTCCTTAATTGAGGGGAACTGGCCCAGGGCATCTGAGGCAATCTCCTGGCCATTGACCATATAAGAAGTGTCCCGTGTGCCCACCGTGGTCACCAGAATGCCGTAGGTTCCACGGGCAGAAACACTGCTGTATGATGAGCTGTCACTTTCGTTCCCATCGGCCTCAGACACGCTGTCCCCAGTCAGGGAGGCACTCTCCAGACGGTCCTCTGTCTCAGGGGACAGGCTGACCTCAGACACAACCGATGCCATGCTGCTTCTACTGTGCTTCAGGGAACCCCTGGCAGAGTCGGTGGCCAGAACATTTCCGCCAGAATTCCCAGCATCTGAATCTTCAGTTCTATAATCTGCCAGAGACCGAATTTTGCTGGATTTGGAACTTTTCTTCTCCTTAGGATGTGCAAGGAGCCCTAAGCTGCCTACCTTGGGCCCCCGAGGGACACTGGTGCGCAGAAAGGAATATTCTTTTGTCATAGCCATGGTGCTGGCCCTTGGTAAGTTTTCTGGGTTTAACATGAGCTCAGGATCAAGTGTGCTGAAAAGTCTCGTTTTTGTTGCAGGTTGACTGGACTGAGAAGGAAACAAAAGTACAAAAATTATGTTTAAAATTGACAAACAGCATTCTAAAATTGCCATCCAGAAAGGATGCACCCATTGCTATTCTCTCTACTGAAAAGCAGAGAGCTCCTCTCTCCCAGCCCTCACTATGAAGGTGCAGCCAGCCTCCAAGCCTTAGCAGTCTCACTGCTGCAGGATCATACGCTACTGACCAGCGGGACCATGCCTGGGCCCAAAGCACACCTTTAGTGAAGGTAATTTTAAAGCACTTTCAACCACATTTTAGAGAGCAAGTCCTTCCTCATCGTACTTCCTTGACAAAACTTTCCTGGCTATTCTCCTATGTTCATTCTTTCAGATAAACATAAAAATTTTCTTCACATTAAAAAAAAAAAGTCCTGTTGAATTAGAACTACTTTAATCTTATAATTACTTAAGAGATTATGAGCTGTTTCCTTACAATTATTCCTACCTGCTTGTATGTCCCTCAATAAAGAAGTTATGTAATATTCGTCATCTAGATTCTAAGCCCTTTTTATTGCCATTTTAATTTAATTATCAGATATTTTATCATTTTTGTTATTATAAATGTTATCTTTCCCTACTGATTTTATAATCAATCATGTTAGGCTAACTATTGATCTTTCATATTTGTATCTTTGAACTGACAATTTTCTGAACCCTAATTAGATCTAATAATTTTTTCAGTTGATTCTCTAGAATTTTCCCAAGGCATTGCCAGCACCTGTAAATAACATTTCTCCTCTTTTTCAATATTTGTATCTCTTCTTTTTCTTGTATTATTGTGTTAGGTAGAACTTCCAGAATGGCCTTGAACAAGATGGAGGAAGGAGAAGTACCCTTCCTTATGGTTATTTCAAACACAACTTTCTCTTACAGAGAATTACTCAATCCTATGTTATTCCACAAACCAACACAATCCCCCAGGCAGGGGCATGTGCATGAGGAACATCCTTGAAGGACACTGGATGCAAATGGAAGAATCAATGCACAAGAACAGCTAGAAAAGAACGGGGCAGGGGGGAGGCAGCTAGAAGAGCAGAGGGTGGGGTGACGGGCAGCCTGCCAGCCCAGATGGTTCTCAGACCACAGAGCTGTGGTGACATGTCCATTCAGACCTAGGGAAAAAGCAGACAGGCTGGAAACAATGCAGTCCAAAAATCGGCACAAGCACAGGTGGGATGTGCAGACACTGCAGAGGCACAGTGACAAGGCAATGCTGAAACCAGCGGGAAAGAGACAGAGGATAACATAAGTGACCTGAGAGAACAGACAAGCTAGCCAAAAAGACTTAATTCCCACCTCTGTCTTTAATCCAGAACACTTCAGATGCATTAGATTTAGATATTTAAAAACATCCTTCCTTAAATGGACACATCCTTCCATTTAAACTATTAAATAGGATTTTTTAGATATTATTAGACATATATTTTTTAAGATGGGGAAGGATCTTAAATTTTCACAATTGGAATTTTACGTTAAACTCCTGATGTATTCAAGACCAATGCTGACAATCCTGTGGTGCAGGCTCTGGAGGCTCTATGATAACAGATCCCACAGACAATGCCACATCACTGCTGAGTGATTCCAACGACTTCCTCAACCTGAGCCTCAGTTTTCTCCCCTGAAATGTCACTTATTTCACCTGACTGCTATAACACTGTATTATACAGTCTGCAGGGAATGTAACACAACACCTGGCACGTAGTGATTACTGATTATTTACTATCACTGTGATTGCCTCCAGGAGCCACAGTCTGGAAAGGTGTCCCACAAGCCCCTCCTCCACTCCTCACGCAGCAGGTGTGGAAAGTGACATCTGCAACCATTCCCTCCAGGGGAAACAAATGGCTGACACTCATGGGGACTGCCACCACTAATTCACTCATGGAAAGTGTTTTTTAAAGTTAGTTCACTTCTAATTTTAAATTAATTTAAAAATTTTCAAATCCACAGAAAAGTTGGAAGAACTGTGAAAAGAACACTCATGTACTCCTTGCCTAGATTCATTCAATGACATTAAAAAGACTGCTTTAATTATCATCCTAACAAGAGTTTTATTACCAAATAAAACTGATTTTGGTATATTATATGGACAAACTTATCAAATGTGTGTGCTACGGAACATATTTCCAACAATGTAAGACATCAGCAAAGCTCACTGGAAACTCACTGATAAAATAAACTGACACCTGAGACTGGTTGCTCAAGTACAGAGAGGAATAAATGTAAGTATTTACTTTCTTTGCTTTTCAAATGGCAGATTTAGGAATAAAATACGCTTGTTCCAAAGGAAGCAGGACCAGAGAGGGGAGTCCTGCTGGAACCTTCCAGAGGCAGGACCGCACAAGGAGCACAGTGACGACTGCCAGCACCCGGCACCTGCCCATCACAGGGAGTACTTCTGCACCTGGTGCTCTCCAGGAGCTCACTCAGGAAGGACTCACCCGCTCCTGCTGGCGCTTCACTCTGTACTGTTTGAGCTGCTCTTCCAACCGCTTCCTAGCCTGAAGTCGGACTTGCTCCTCCTTCTCCAGGGGCAGTGAAGACTCAGTGGAGCCTGTGGTAAGGAAAATTCAGAAACTCATGAAGTAGCAGGGCACAGAGAACAAAATCAGGAACAATTGCTTGACTGTTTGCATATACCTGTCAGTATGTTTTAGCTCCTAAACAACACACAGCCATCTAGTTTGAGGACAATTTCCAGAGCAAGAGAAACCTGTGAGCCTTGGACACTGACCACAGACAGGATCCACCTTGTAGGAGACACACTGGCCAAGTACTCGGGTCTGTGTTCATGCCATGAGTACACTACCCTCTACAGGTACTCAGCTGGCAAAACAGGAGACAGGTAGCAAGTGTCTTTTAATAAAAAGAATCAAATTTAAAGTTGGTGGCAGTGCTTGGTGGTCTCAGGCACAGGAACCCTCAGCTCTGCTGAGCTGTAACTCTGCTCTGACTCTACAGTGGGTGCTGGTGACCTCGCTGTGAGCAGCATGTGGAAGTCGGTCATATGAAATCACACTCAGTGGCAACCAGCAGGAACAAGGCCATCACGTGGTCTCATGACAACAAAAGTGTTTTCTTTACACAGTCACATTTGGGGATATAACTTGATCCACAGCTTATCTCAGCTCGTACAATAACAAGTCATATTATAATAAGGTTCTGTAAAATCAAAAGAGTACTTCTGAGAGCTGGCAGTACTCAGGCATTTTTTATTTAAGGGATAAAACTGTTGAAGTCTGGCTTCAGGACTCAATGCAGAGCAAAGTCCAGGTAGGCATCTGCCCACAAGGACCAGAGGCCAGTTATGTCACTTTCCTGACAGATAAGACTCCAGTCCAGGGATTATCACAAGGTCAGGATGGGAAAATAACTTTTTAGCCAAAAACAGAATTTAAAATACCTAAAACCCAAACCTTTTACTTTGGGTAATTAAAAGGTTGAATAGTGATTACAAAGGTATTACAGGAACAAACCCAGTTTTGTGGCTTTATCCTTCTTACCATACCAGCAGACACACCTGTGGAACCCCAGATGGCCTAGATATTGATCAAAATAGACAGATGTGACCATTTAACAACTTTTTATATATATGGCACCTGCTTCAGACGTGAGCTCTGAGGTGATAAGTAGTTGTTGTTTTAAATAATCCCTAAAATTGGGTGGCCGGTTAGCTCAGTTGCTTAGAGTACAGCCTTGTAACACCAAGGTCAAGGGTTCAGATCCCTGTACTGACCAGCTGCAAAAAAAAAAATCCCTAAAATCTGTGTGGTCACCAAGGATTCCACTAAGAATATACTACTGTCCTCACTAAATTGCACACTTCATCACTGGAAAGCTCTCCAGTACTTCTCACAAGGAGCCTGGGGCCATCAGGCAGGTGACATACATCAGTGAGATGGGCTGGGGCTCAACTAAAGGACACAAACTCCATGACAAGTGGCCTGAGACACAGAGCCTCAGGGTCAGATGACAGCAGGAGCAGATCTGCACAGTGTCACATACTTCCCAGAAAGAGCAGTGTATACCATTAGGTACTGCCACCTGAGTTCCTGGGGCTGGAGTACACAAACCAGTAAGATCAGGAATCCAGACTGTTACGTGACATTTCTTAACTTACATATCGGCAACTAGTTTTCAGAATTTTTTTAAAACACACAGCTAACAAAATATATCTGTGAAGAAAAGGGGAAATAATCCAAAAGAAAAACAAGCCAAACATATAAAGAGACAATTCACAGAAAAAGATGTCCAAATGGCCAACAACAGATAAGAAGATGCCCAAGTCATCTAGTAATCCTCCAGTCATTAAAGTAAAAACAAAGCATCACACCACACCCATCAGACCGGTAAAAATTAAAAAGTGGAAGGATATGCTGGAGCGATAAGGAGGAGCAGTGTCCTCACGGGTCCAGAGGTGCTAGCAGCTCCTGGTGAAGCAGGGCTGCTTCTGGGGTGGGACTGCGCAGCACAGCACAGTGTCGCCCTGAGGACATGGGTGCCAGGGTTCTCACAGCCCAGAACTAGAAATACAGCAGACAGGAGATAAACTACTGCCCAGCCAGGAAAGAACAAATTTGGGAGACAGGCAGCAGGCTCCACTGCTAAAGTTAAGTGAGGACAGGCAGTTGTGGACAAGAGAAACCCACTTATAAAAACAATGACCAAAGCTTCGTGCTTTCAGAGGCCTGTGAGGGTCCAGTAAGAACATGCAGGACAAGGTGCTGAAGGGGAAGAGAAGATGGCATGTATGATACCATCTCATCACGTGAAGTAACACACATGTGCATGTACAATACCATTGCAGCATGTAAAGTTACACATATGTGCAGGTACACCATCTCATCACATGCATGCATAAAAAGATGAAATGGCATGTATGATACCATCTCATTATGTAAAGTTACACACATGTGCATGTATAAAAAAGAAGGGTTAGAAAAAGGTCTCGAGTTTTCTGGAGCTCACAGGTTGCCAGTCTGTAGCTTGTTCATCTTTGAATCCCCACAATCAGCACAAAATAAAAGCTCATTAGAATAATTCAGAAAAGAAAAGCTTCAAGTATAACTGTGAACTGTCTCAAGACTGACGCCACACTATCTGCCTGCTGAGCATCTGGGAGACAAAGGATGTGCAAGTAGCCTTTAGATTGGGAACTTCAGCACCACAGTCAAGCTCATACTATAGAGAAGCTTTAACACCCAGTGTATTGTCACACTTTAAAATGAAGGTATCTTGTTAAATGCACAACCCACCATAGCAATAAGATGACAGATGGAAAAGGGATGTGACTGCTCAGACAATGAAGGGTCAGGGCATCTGCTCTGAAGGGTGGGCTGAGGGACACTGATGTGGGAGGAGGGTTGCGAAGAGCCCGGCAGGGGACAGATGCTTACACAGTTGCGTTTCTTGCATAGGAAGACTGAGTCTGAGAGACTGCAAAGCTTCTTTTCTAACACTGCCCTCAGCACTAGTTCCCTGAGACTTCCTTAGGTTGTCATGGAAACCAGCCACACCTGGAGGGGCATCAGGACCCACTGCACTTGTGGTGGGATCCAAAGACAATGGCGAGTCTGGGAACTGCGGTGTTGGCCCGTTCTGACAGAGGCCCCCCTGGCCAGGTCCGCCAGGGCTTTCTCCTTCATTGGAAGCTTTGTTTTCCTCGACACTGGCACCTGGAAAGAGAGAATACGCTGGACCACCATGGTTTGAACAATAAGATCACATCATTTTTCAGATGCACAGCTAAAGTGGGACAGAAGAGGATCAGCATACATGAGCAAGAGCATTTCCACATCTGATAAGTCTGTTCGCTCTGAGGGAAGAGCAGGCCCTGCACTCACAGGCAGGCATTCCCGTGGGCTGGGTGACATGGGACAGGTCGCACAACCTCTCTGGGCCTCAGTGTCCTCACATGTAAAATGGTCTCACCCTCCACACTATAGTTGTAGAATTTAAGTAGTAATATTTCCTTTTCATTTAAATAAGACTAATAAGAAATCTTATGAAAGTCTGTTTTCTAAAAATTGCAAAAGAAAAGCAAAGCTTAGGGCCTGCCAGTTAGCTTAGTTGGTTAGCACATGCTGTTAATAACACCAAGGTCCAGGGTTCGATCTCTGTACAAGCCAGCTGAAAACAAAATAAAACACAAAAACAAAACACAAAAGCGTAAAACACAGCTGTAAATTTTTCTAACAGTCATTAGTAACAGCAGTGCTAATTGGAGTCACAGCCTCACATTTACGAAAGGCTAGATCCGAAATCATTTCTTTTTTTTTTTTTTAAAAGATGACCGGTAAGGGGATCTTAACCCTTGACTTGGTATTGTCAGCACCACGCTCAGCCAGTGAGCGAACCGGCCATCCCTATGTGGGATCCGAACCCGGGGCCTTGGTGTTATTAGCACCGCACTCTACCGAGTGAGCCACGGGCCGGCCCCGAAGTCATTTCAAAGCATAAGTTTATCTTCCAAAATAAGAAATCTGGGGCAAAGACATAGATTATCCAATCAGAGCAACTCTGTCAGAGCTGAGCACAGAACCCACAACTGTGCCTCTGCTAGACGAATACCTGTTAGGTAAAACCCAAGTTTAACCAATGATGACTCTGTACTTGTGTATTAAATTCAGTTTCACCCATTAACATCATCATACACAGAATTATTCACTACATAAACTAAAACATATTTCCCTATCAGAAGGAAAAAAGGGGGCCAGCCCGGTGGCGCACTGGATAGTGCGCCGCTTGGGAAGTGCGGCGGCGCTCCCGTCCGAGGGTTCGGATCCCATATGCAGACCGGTTCCCGCTCACTGGCTGAGCGGGGCGCGGGAGCAACGCCGAGGGTTGCGATCCCGTTGCCGGTCCCCGGTCTGGTACGGGGGCAACACTGAGGGTTGCGATCCGTTGCCGGACACGGAAAAAAGACAAAAAAAAAAAAAAAAAG